GAGACCGCGATTGTGTCGATGCCGCTCATACCGTGCGCTTGCCCACTGCCATACGTGATCGTAAAGTTGGGATTCGACGACAGACGAAATGTGGACGACGAGGACCAGGGATGTATCCGCGAGCGAAGGCCGTGCTGTGTTTGAAGGTCTGGGTTGCCGGCGCAGTGGGATGCGCACAAGGGTATCTGCTACCACAGAGAAGTGAACAAGGGTCGCCAAGGCAAGCACGAAACTGTGGTAAACTGCTGGAATCGAACAGGCATTCTCGACACTGAACTGTCGAATTTCGGCTAACATGTTGCTGCCATCCAGTTGTCATAATTTGTACCTGTATATTTTTGTTTCCTTTGAAACTTGTTTCAAGTCGACCGTTTAAAAGTCGGGGGGAAATCAGTACATGTTTAATGTTAAGGATATGTAGCTGCACCGACACATTCCTCGTCCAATAGGAAATCGACAATTCTAAGGGACCAGTAGAATTCGATTCTATTGTCGGTTGTCCAATCACCTCCCATTATATTGTCGGTTTGTTGTCGCGTCTGAAGTATATGTAACTTTACAATTATAAATATTTTATACTTTGACACGTCGACGTGCCAAAGATCTCATGTTTGTCTCAGCGCAAAGAGCGAAAACGTGGTGGATCACGGCTTGGGGCGTCCGATCCCGAGCTGCGCTTGACTCGTCCGTCTCAACAAAGCCGATTGCTCGTTTCGACGCGAGCGGCTTCAAGCGCCGGAATATCGACGTCGTGGACGAGCCCTCCGTCGCCATGTTTGGATTTCACCAACACACATCCCCCTGTGGTGGGGGGTTGATGGCGTGTTGGAAGGGCCACGGCACGGGGGCTTTGGTGGCGATATCTCGACGCAAACCGACTTTGGTTCGGATTGGAAGGCGGGGTGTTTGCCACGTTGCTGTAGTTTATCTGGGTCGCAGTAGACGCCGCTGCACGTCGCAAACATTGCGTTGACGATTCCGTTCGTCATGGGCAACAACTTCGTGACCAACAAACAGGTCACGGCAACGACTTGGATCGGGGTTTGTTTTCTCTGGTTGTCCATGGGGTGGGTGCGTGTCCTCCTCGACTGTTGCGAGGATTACAAAAAGCTGGCGGCATCCGCCCGAGATGCGACGCTTGTCGCAGCTGTCGTGGACAGCTTCCCCGACAATACCGACGACGACTCGTTCACGGCCGTCGACTACAACGCAGCTACTGAACGCGACCCAGCAGCCACCTGAAGCGGCCAATGCACATTGTGTTGACGTATACTCTCGACGCTAGTTGATGAATCCTGGACCTGCCATGGATTCATCATACCTTGCCCCAGTCGATGGGACATTTCGATGCGAAGGAAACGTCGAGAACGCCCCGTGTGACGAAGTAACATGCATCGTTGGGCTCCGTGTCGCCTTTCGCTCAGCCTCGACACCGCTCGAGCGTATAGCGAACGAAGACGTACCTGTACGGTAGCGTGCGGCACGTCCAAGTGGATGGTGGTGGTGCAGCTGGAGCAACTTCGTAGTGCTTGGATTTTAATGGTGGCATTCGAATCCCTGTGGGTATGGAGAGGTTGGTGAGTCTGCACTGTTCTCGCCTGCAGCAAGGAGATATCAACCCCCCACTGGCGACCATTCAATGTCACGTGCTCTGGATGAGCCGTGGGAATCAACCAGCAGAAATTCTCATCCAGTCTTGACACATCTTTGACAAAACGCCTACCGACGATGTCGATGCGAACTTAATGGCGTTGGCCACAGCACGTCAAGCTCCCTTGGCTCTCGACAATTTGGTGGTGGCAGTGTCAGTGTTCGATAGGAGTTGACAAAGCCATTCTAAACATCTCCAACGACGTGCTGTTGTCTATCGAGGCCTTTGTCCTCTGTCCAGCAAGTGCACAACCTCTCGTTTCACCTCGCTACCAATGTCACGGCGCATGTTGCGGCCACGAGCGTCTGGATCGCACCAAGACATACATTCCTCTCCGATCTTCGAAATTCGAGCCGAAGTACGTACCAAGCAAGGCGTTTCATCCGGATACGGTCCGAATGTGCGGGAGAGGACCGACGGAAATTTTAGGGAAATTATCGGCATTTTTGTGAATGTTTGTCGCGTTTCTATCCAAAACCGCTGGCGTTTTGTATACAATCCTGGAGCTGCTAGTCGCAATTCGCTTAAATCGTCAACAAATTCATCAACACTTGCTCAAACCGCGCCAGTCCGAGTTCGACAGCATGAGGAACGAGGATGCGCCAGTCGTGCCGCTTCTTCCTCCACCCAAGGCCGCGACATGCGTCGTGACTGCATCGTCGACGTGCCGACGTCCGCTGAGCAAGGCGGCGCTGCGGAAGGAAGCGTCTTACGTGTTCAAGTACCTCCTCTTTGCGCAGGTGACGGTGTACCTTGAGACGGGCACGATTCCGTGCTTGCTGGACTCGTTCGCTGCTGTGTTCAACATGAACGCGCGAGAACAAGGCTGGCTTGGTAGTGTCGTGTACATCTCGCTGTGCGCGGCATCACCGCTCAGCGCGATCGCGTACAAGCACGTGGACGCCAAGTACGTCTTGGGGATCTCGCTCGTGCTCAACAACCTGTGCGTGCTTGGATTCGCGATGACTCCGACGGGATTCGAAAATAGCTCGATCGTCCTCATCACGATGCGAGCATTGATCGGGTTCACACAGTCCTTTCTGTGTGTGTATACGCCGCTGTGGGTCGACTCGTTCAGTCCGCGCGGGAGTGTCGCCGGGTGGATGAGCTACCTCCAAGGCAGTGTGCCGCTTGGAGTTATGTTTGGCTACCTCTTTGGGTCGGTTAGCAACTGGCTCAACACAGACATGTGCTTGTTCCAGTGCTGGCGATGGCCGTTTCTGCTTCAGTTTGTTCTGGTCGTGCCGCTCATGGTCGGGGTCTTCTTTGTCCCGAGTGAGCATTTAAACATCATCAAGTCGGCGCCAAAAACCAAGAAGCTTCCGATCCAGTCGGCGATTGCATCGTCAAGCAACGACGACTTTTCTGGCGACCGCAACGAGACCCATCCTGTCGTCCTCGAAGAAATGGTGCTTACACGCCACCTATCCCACTCGAACTTGAGCGTTTCTTTCCGGTACGTCGGTCATGCTCCGTTGTGCTCGTTCGTCGTGCTTGAGCTTTGCGTGGCTTTCTTTAGTGATGCGGAGCTCAACCCAGCCCAATTTACAGCGATCCGGGCGTCGTACATGACCCCTCGCTTTCGCATGGACTCGTATGATATCGAATCGCTCTTTCTCGACGACCAAGACGTCGTCCACCACGTCCACCATCATCATGGCCACCACCACAATCCAGCATCCACGACGTCCACCTATGGGTCTGTCGGAGGCCCCGAGCCACCGGAGCTCTCGACATTTCGCCAGGAAGATCGCTTGTCGACGATTGCCAGCAGCCACGGACGAGAATCGACCGGCATCCCATTGTACGTTTGCCCATTCAGTCCAGACAATACGTCGTCGCCGGCTCTCGCATTGATCTCTTTGTATTGCAGCGCCGACAGCACTCGCTCGTCTTTACCTCCTCGACCATCGAACTCGTGTCCCGAGGTTCAAAGCAGCCAAAGCGCAAACCACCCGTCGCAACCAAAATCAGCGCCGCCGGTCCTGCCTTCCGTGAATGAAGTGACCAACTCATCGTCTTCGTACGTGGCAGTGCGTGATCATGGCCAATAGAGGGCCAGTGTGCGAATAAGGGACGGATGGAGCGATGATATCGTTGATAGGATGGAAGAGGCAATGTTGTTGCCTGCGTCCACTGTGCCCCACCAACCCCTTCCCGTGCTTCGATCGTCCTCGCACCGGTCGTGTCGGTACGAACATTCGGGCAACACTCGAGCGTTCATGCGGTGCCGTACTTGGACGCATCATCCATTGTTTGTTATTTGTGTGCTTCATTTGACACAAGTGCACGCGTAAAAGAACTCGTTTGAATTGATTTGATCGAAAGCGATGTTGTTCATGTGTGTTGACTCGTTTGATCCATAACACCACGTCGTCCAGGGGCTTGTCGAGCCAAGTGAGTCACGGAGACGCCGATGACGACGAGTACGAAGAAGACTTGTACTTGGACGAAGACATGGGGTTTTTCCAAAGCCTGGGCGTTCTTCTCATGCGGCCCCTCTTCACATTGATCGTGCTGGGCCTGAGCGCAATTTACTTTGTCGTGACGGGTGTCCAGTTCTGGTCGACAATTTACCTCGAGCGCAATTTCGACGCGTCCGTCGTCATCGTGAATGGTTTGTTTGTGGTTGTCGCGGGAACTGGGCCGATTTGGGGCGTGTTTTTTGGAGGCGCTCTGATTGATCGTGCAGGTACAAAGGACATATTATCCGTGTTCACTACGATGTTTATCGCTCTTTTGTTGACTTTGTATCAATAGGAGGGTACATGGGCCTCCACCAACGCGCCAAGGCCCTCGGAATCTGCGTTTGTCTCGGCTTTGTCGCGTTTTCTCTCGGTGTTCTCACAACATTTCTCCCCAACTTGTACCTGACGGCGGCCAGTTTGTGGCTCTTGCTGTTCTTTGGCGGGTCCATCCTTCCATCGTGCACTGGCATCTTTATCAGTGCCACCCCCGTGCAGCTCCGGTCGTTGGCATCGTCCGTGTCCGTCATGGTATTCAATTTACTCGGGTACGTCGTATTGTTTCGATGTCTTGATGGTCGTCACTTTTCCTGGTTGCTTTATGGTGTGGGGAATTGACGGGATGGTTCGCGCCTAGATATGCCTTGGCTCCAGCGCTGACCGGGTCGTTCATGGAATTGATCGACAACCACCACGACGACCCGACGAGTTACTGGTTTGGCTGCGACGAAGCGTGCATGTATCGCGTCGGGTTTCGATGTTGCTTGGCATGGAGTGTCTGGTCATTGCTGTCGATGCTCGCAGCATACATTGTCGCCAAGCGACAAGCGGCGGCTGCTGGCCCAGCTGCGCACGAAAACGAAAAGTCGCCCGAACCACCCGTTGCCATGATGATGCACTAGGTTTTGTGTCGTCGCAATATCCCACCAAGCTCCCGACGACCAACAAAATAGATGCAGGACATGAAAATATACCCAGTGTCGCTCTTGGAAACGACGTGGTGCTGACGACATTCTTGCGTGTGTGGTCGAAGGTTAGCCCAGAGTTGAATCCCGTGCACAGTGCGGGCTCTTTGCACGCCTGGACGGACACAGATATCGAGCAACACCAAAGTCTCGAGGGTGCACGACGATCCACGCGACTACACGGGATGGCTGGCCTCGTTTTGGATCAAATTCAACACCTTACTTGGCAAAACCAAACAACTTTCCTTCAAGTTTTGTGTTTGACCGTTGTTTGTTTTCGTTCGTACGTGTATGCCCTATCCTTTTCCTTTTCGTTTTCCAACAAATTCCAGGCACGTCGATATTGTCAAGCATAGCCACGGCGCGCTCGTGTTTGAATCTTGAGTTGGGGGTATATTTCTTGACATGATTCCAAGTCGCAGTCGAGGCCAAGCCGGGTACAGATGGAGGCACAAGCCGTGGCTGTCCTGTGGACGTTGGGACCTCGCGTCGATGACGAGCGTTCAAAATTCGATGAAAGTGGCAATGGAGTTGGCGGTCAAGTCGACTGGAACACTTCTGTTCATTCAGGTCGTGGGGGTTGCAACTCTATGTCGCTGCACGAAGAGCTGGACGAAGTTCTTTTCCCCCAAGAACGCTGGTGTCAGCAAGTCTTGGTGTGGATTGCAGCGTTTTCAAAAGGTTTTTTGCTTCTTCACTCGCTCTGACGCTGCCACTCCAATTGATACTTTCTGCGACAATGTGCTCGCACAAGTGTATCAACCCGAGGTGCTTCACATTCGCTGTCTCGCAAAGTAGTTTCGCTGGATTATTACTCGATGCATTTCGCCACAACGAACGACGAGTCGGCCATCGTCAGCATGTGAATTTATTCTTGTGACGACGACCTTGGCGTAGAGTGAGCTCGAAAGGGACACGAACACGGTGTCTTTGCTTCGGCGCGAGTGATGCTGGATGCAATGAACAAGTTTGTGCGTGTGCAGAAAAGCATTTGTGAACGCCCTACTTTTGAGAGGACAGGCAAGGTGGCCAAGGAGCTCCAGTAAACACATCTATCCCCACGGTCGGTGCTTTCAAAACATGCCCATCCATGCAAGCACGACATGCTCGTTGGTGACTCTTTCGTTTCGAGTGACGCACACGGCTCTTTTCGTCCTCATCAACGACAGAGAATCGATGTATCGATCGATGGTGATGCGATCTCGCGATGCGACCTCTTCATCACAGAGCATGCACATACTCCACTTCCAGCATATTCTGTTCATTCCGTGTTCCGGGGATGTTTTGTGCACTGCGTGGGCGAGTGGCATCCCAACTCGACCCGTCCGTCGCGTTTCCAAGGACCCCTGCGCATGGCTGCGCGAAGTTGTGTTCAAACCAGCCGTCCATGGCAGGCCGCCGGGTAGGCATGAATGTGGTCGATATCTCAGCGCATCTTGGCTGGAGCAGTGTGGCCGTTCAGCGTTTCCGTCAACTTCAAAGCTTGAATGCCAAAGTGGCCGCTGCCGTGATCTCGTTCGATCTAGTCCACAACTGAGCAGTGGATGATGGATGCTTCGAGCCGTTCACACAGTACGTGCGCAGCCAGCCATTCCAAACGACGGGGGACCACTTGAACAGAAGCGCCTTTCGTTTGTCAAGCAAAGGGGCAATACCTCCCGCTTTGAACCCCTCTGGCATGACGAACGGAGGAGCTGCGATGAAGGTTTTCGCCTCTGCCTTGACCGCGTGCATGGCAGACGTGGCGTTTTCATGACTTTAACGTGCGACGTTTTATTTCACTTGTGTCGTTAAACCATGTGAGACTCCATTATCCGGATATTATGGACTAAAACGTATCTGTTTAACCCAAGTAATATCCAGGACATCGACAGGGTGGCACACAAATTCCACCATGAGCGACGACGAGGACTACGAGTTCGAGTACAGCGACAACGACGATGATGTTGACATGGGAGATGATGAAAACAACCCGGAAGTCGAGATGGAGAATAAGTATTACACGGCCAAGGGCGTGCGCGATGAAAACTGCACGTCGAGCGACCAAGTCGAAGCCGCGTTCGAGGCCGTGCTCGACCTGGACGACATGGGCGAGTCGATTTGGGGGTTCCGAGCGCTGAAACAATTGATCAAATGGGGAATCCGACATAACGAGCTGGAAAAGGCCATGAAACACTACGAGAAGCTCCTCCATCGCATCGCAACATCGCCCGGGATCACACGCAACATGGGCGAGAAAGGCGTGAACGGCGTGTTGGATTTTGTGTCGGCGCATCCCGTTGTACAAAATGCGTCCACGTCGTCGTCTTCCCCGTCCGGAGGTACGTCGCCTTGATGCGTCGCACCCTACGTTCGGGGACAACCTCTGTTTCAACAATGCCCCGCACTCCATCCATGCACCTTCACTCGGGTCATGCACTTGTAGACGACGGATCGTGGGCAATTTTACAGCAATTTTACGAAACAACGTTGGCAACGTTGCAGCAAAAGGAGTCGCGAAACGAACGCCTGTGGTTCAAAACCAACATCAAGCTCGGGAATCTCTTGTTTGACCAGATGGAAGCAGTTGGAACACCCAAGCACACGCAGTTGCTGCGAATTGTCAAGGAGTTGCTTGCGTCGTGTGAATCGAATGCTGCGGCGTCCGCCGCTGACGCCGCCCTCGACGACGACTCGACTGGCGCGTCGATTGCGTCGTCGAGCAAGAACGATTCGCAGCTCTTGGAAGTGTACGCGCTGCAAATCCAGCTCTACACAGTGCAGAAAGACAACAAGAAGCTCGTCGAGCTGTACGAAAAGGCACTGTGTGTCAAGCCGGGGGTAGCCCATCCACGCATTGTGGGCGTCATTCGTGAGTGCGGCGGCAAGATGCACATGATGCAGGTACGATTGGAGCTTTGATGAGTTTGGGTGTCGATTACACGGGCACATTGTTGTGCAGCTTTCGGTATGACTACGTGGCAATGGCGTGTGTGCAATCGTCTTCGGCGCATCCGTGGGAGTGAGTGCTACCTATGGTTGAGCAAGCTCCCTTCTGCATTTTTTTCATGTACTTCTCATGGTTTGAGTTTCCATTCGCCATGATTTGCATCGACATGCGTGCGAAAAATACATTTCAATTTGGAGACATGTTTGGGCGAAACTCAAACATTTTTGTCTTACCTTGAAAGGTTTCACCGACGTTGGTCGCTTCTGCTTGAGTTTTTACCCACAATGAAAATGCACAGGGGGAATGGGAGAAAGCCCGAAATGCATTTTTCGAAGCCTTTAAGAATTTTGACGAAGCAGGCGAAGGCAGGCGGTTGCAGGCTCTCAAGTACGCCAACCCATCGATACATTATCGCAAAATTGAATATTACTTCGTCGCTTTTTCCAGATACCTGGTGCTTGCAAATATGTTGGGCGACTCGAAGATCAACGTGTTCGACTCGCAAGAAGCGAAACCATACGAACAGGACAAGGAAATTGTCGCGATGACCCAACTCGCCGATGCTTTCTTGAACGACGACATCAAACAATTTGGTACGTGGGCATGTACCATAAAGCGAGTGGAACGTGCTGTTAGATTCCGTGTTGAATCGTCATCGCCGATCCATCATGTCGGATGGATTTGTCAAGCATTATGTCGACAATCTCCTTCGGGCTATTCGCAGCAAGGTAACGTGTACAAATTCGATTTCGCTGTCAAAAGCTTCAATTTGTGATGATGGCCCTCACGATAATGCTGTATTCAGGTCGTGCTGAAGGTGATCAAGCCATATCAAGTTGTAAGATTGGCCTACATTGCGATGGTAAGCTACAAAATTCTAGGTTGCGAGTGTAATATTTTGCTTCCGACTTGATTATTCACTGTGTTGACTACTTTTTGTGCACTAAACTCACTTGGTGGGTTACAATACGTCATAACGAGTATCGTAGGAGCTCAATGGAATTGAGCGACAAGAAGTCGAACATATTCTGGCGGCGCTTGTGCTGGACGGAAAAATTGAAGGTCGCATCGACCAAGTCAACGGACTCTTCTTCCTTCACCCGTCCGTACACACTGGATGGTTTTCTTGGATGTTTTACCAACACGAATTCTTTCGTAGACAAACGAGCGATGTGAAACAAGTCGGTGCGCTGAACGAGTGGACGACATCGCTGGAGAAATTGCGCCGTCAATTGCACGACAAACACTTACCCGAAGCAGCATAACACCCAGAGGAACATTTCCAACTTGATAGCGATGCGGAATGTCTTGGTTTGTGGAATGATTTGAGTTGTAGCACCCTACGTCGGGTCCTTGAAACAAGAGTGAAGTAGGGATGGCAAAATGTATCGGTCGGGTCGTTAACGCTGTAGCCAATCTATCGTGAGAGAAAACATTGGAAAATCAAGTATATTCAGAGTCCAAAGTGACCAATTCCTTCGAGGGAGGGCGATTGGCGTAGCGATGGTGTTGGAAATATTTTATGATTCTCGATATTGTATAATGAAGAAATTGTCCATAGTTAACGTGGGAACGTTTGAAAATCAATAAACAAACGGGTTCGACCACTGCGTTTCACACTCCAAGACTGTTGGCTTGTTGCCCCTTTATGCACGATTCGGACCAGTATGTAAGTGGTAGAAGACCTGCACATGTTACGAGGCGTTTGTAAGATGGTGAGAGACTTCTTGACTACTCCAAAGTATTACTCGTTTTCCACACAAAATGGTCGTTTTCCCTTGATTCACGTTGACCTGGTGATTTTCAATCCACTTGGCTTTTGTTCAACTCCAAACCACGAGGAAGGCACCAAACATTTCAAGCGAATGGCCCAACAACTGCCTGGCCGATGCGACAGCGCGCTCGTAGGATAAGGCGTCAACCTGGACATGATACGAAGCGCATCAAGCAAGGAGAGCATCCTGTTTCATGTGAGGAACCTTCTTCTGTTGAAGTTTCCCGCGCTCACGCAAGACAAGGCCGGAAACGACGAACTCGGTGACGAAAGGTCATGGCCAAGATTGTTGCGTGCATCATTGCATTGTTGTTGTCTACCAGCGACGTCGCTGAAGGACGAGCTTCAAGCTCGTCATGCATACGCCAGTAGGAAGAACAACTGAACGTAGGAAAGGAGCTTTATCAACAACATCAATTCACTTCGCGATGTGCCTCCTTGGTCCTGAGTCGCTTGCTAATCGTTTGCTGTCGGTTATCCTCGTTTGTCTATCGTTCTACTCACAGCCACACGCATTAGTTCAAGATCATCGTATGCATTTCTTCCATGCCATTCAATGGACGATACCTTTTTTGACGAGTTGCGACTTGTTTTCGATTGAACCCTCGATCGTTGCTGTTGCAATAGACTCGACGGTACGAAGAAGCGGTCGGGAAGGCGAGTGAAGTTGACGAAGCGTGACATACGCCGCATTTACCGCAACGCAATCGTACGAAACTTGTCAGCAGCGCAAAGCGCCAAGACACTATCGGTGCGGGTGACTGCCCGCACTGTGCTCAACGTGCTGAAATCAAGCAAGTTCATCAAATACACGAAGAAGAAGCCGGCGCCGTATCTGAAGCCGCATCACAAGTAGGCGCGTCGTGCTTTCGCCTGCAAAACACATTGCGAAGATGGATTTTTGGAGTCAATTTGTCTTCTCTGACGAAAAGAAGTTCAACTTGGTTGGCCCGGATGGATACCGCGCGTACTGGTGTGATCTCCGTGGTGACGAAAAAGTGTTTTCGAAGCGGGTCAGTGGTGGAGGCAGATTTATGGTTTGGGGTGCTGTGAGCATGTACGGGAAGTCTGATATCGCATTCCTTGAAGGACAACCAAGCTCGAGGAAGTATTGCAATACGATGGAGACATATCTGTTCCCCTTTTTGGACGAAGTTCAAGAGTGTCTCGAAGACCAGATTGTTATGTTCCAA